GTTGTGTGCCAAGGGAGGATTTAAGCTCCACAAATTTGCTAGTAATGATAAATGAGCTGTTGAGAATATATAATAATATCCCTGTTAGTAGGAGAGCCAAGGATATTCAAAGCTTTGATATTTGTCATGATAATCTCCCAGTGGAAAGAGCACTTGGTGTGCATTGGTGTTTAGAGTTTGATACTTTTCAGTTTTGAATCAAGATTAAGGATAAACCCTTCACCCGCAGGGGTGTATTGTCTACTGATTTTCGACCCCCTTGGTTTGGTCTTTCCAGTTTTGCTTATGGGAGAGAAGATCTAGCAAGAATTAACCAAGGATGGAATGGAATGGAATGATCCAGTCCCCGAAGATATAAGATCGCAATGGGAAAAGTTGAGGCATGAGTTGTCTCTTTTGGGTTGTCTCAAGGCGCCCAGATATTACAAAAGTGATGGTATTGGTGAGCTTAGTACAGTTGAGATGCATCTTTTTTCTGATGCTTGTCTTCTAGGTTATGGTCAGTGCAGTTACCTGAGGCTACTAGATAATCAGGGTAATGTTTCTTGTTCTTTAGTGATGGCCAAGTCTCGAGTAGTTCCTGTGAAACCAATCACCATACCAAGGTTAGAGCTCATGGCAGCATTCACTTCTGTGTTGGACAGTGAGTTCTTAAATAAGGAGCTGAAGTATGATGGTCTTTCTCATTTCTTTTGGTCAGAAAGCAAGTTTGTATTAGGGTATATTGCAAATATGTCTACCCGCTTTCACATAGTTGTAGCCAATAGAGTACAGAAAATTCAAGATCATACACAGCCAAGTCAGTGTAGATATATTGAATCAAAGAAGAACCCAGCGGATATCTCTTCAAGAGGTTCAAGTGCAGATGCTTTAATCCATAAATCTATCTGGTGGAACGGTCCAGTACTTCTATCCACAGTACAAATTCAGAGCTCTATATCGAAGCCATTTATGCTTGATAATGACTGGCATCGATTAAAGAGAGCATAGCAGTTTGTCTGAGGTTCAAACAGAGGTTAATGGACCATTTGAAAATTTCAAAACCGAAAGTACACTTGAGTCCTGCCAGGGAGAATTCCAGATCAGAACCAACTGTGAAGAAGACAAGCTCATTATTCAAACTAGATCCCTATTTGGATGAGTAGGTAATTACACGTGTGGGAGGAAAGATGCGTAGAGCTAACCTTCCAAAGGATGTTGCCCATCCTATTCTACTTCCTAAGAAGGGTATGTTACTAAGGTCTTAACATTACATCACCATGAGAAAATCGGTCATTCAGCACTGGAATGACACTTAATGAGATACGAGCCTATGGTTATTGGATAGTAGCGTATAGGCAAGCAATAAAGTGTTGTTTGGAAATGTGTAACTTGTAGAAAGTTGCGTGGTTGTTGTGCATCAGAAAATGTCTGACTTACCAGTTGATAGCTAGAGACTGTCGCCCCTTT